TCACAGGTTTGGTGCACCTTTACAGGAAAGGGTGGAACTTTTTTTTATATATATATAAATTATTTTTAATAAAGGGGGGTGGAACCTTAAGCTTATAAGCTTGGATAATGATCTGTCTCAGACACTGCGAAATGGTGGAATGAGAAGCATATTCCCCTTTACAGGGACTGTCAGAATGGAAGCAGTATAAAACGGTACAGCATGTACTACATGCAGGCAAGAGGGAAATCTCTGATACATTGTAAAGAAAAGAACATTTAACTGGCTAATGTGCCAAAACCACTTGAAAAGGAGATTCTGGGCCTCAACACCTTGTCCTTACACAGAACCAAAAAATGTTCTATGCAGAACATGGGCACCAGTTCAGAAACATGCCTCATACAAGTCATAGCGACAATGAAGGCAATACTGTAAGAGTGAAAATGGGAATATCCCTAAGTGGTTCAAAAAGGGGCATTTTTAGCAGCCGAAATAACTATATGGCGATCCCATGAAGAAAGATGAACCCACGGGGGGCAGCTACATCAGAGACACCTGAAGTTCTTAAAGAACAGAAAGCTATTGGACTCTGGATCAAGATCACAAGTGCCAAGTTCTGGTCCTTGATGGTACTCAAAACGTAGGGCTGACTGTTCATCCAAGCCCAGTTGTAAAAAGGTGAGACTTATATGGTCAATGCGATGGCCAATATGTACCAACTGGTCAGCAAAATGCCATGAGCTCAAGACATTACAGAGCTCATCAGGTATGCTGGAATGCCCATAAAAGGGTGCCTGGAACAGGTGCACCTAAAATGTCTTAGTAGTCTAAAAGGTGCCCATACACCTTACGACCATCGCAAGACTTTTGTCTTGCGATGGTCGTATGCTTCTTGAAAGCCCGTACGATCTGCCCACCTTGGACGGGCAGATCGTACTTGCGATCATCGAAAAAGCCCGTCCCGCTGAGGGGCGGGCTTCTGATGACGGCAATGCAGAACGGGCAGTCGGCCCGTTCCGCAGCTATCGGGCGAGCAGGCTAGAAACCCGCCGAGAATCGTACGATTCTCGGCGGGTTTTCGACCATGTGGGCTCGACAAAAGACGTGCGACCGTACAGTAGAAACGGTCGCACGTCTTAGTTCACACTGCTCGATTCTCGTACGATCGCGGGATTTCGCCCGATTCTCGTACGAGAATCGAGCAGTGTATGGGCACCTTTAGGCCCCTAAGAGATCCTAGACCAGTAGCAGCACTGGTAAAAGCTACAGGCTGTTCGTTCAATTGCAAGGTGGTGCGCATAAAGTCAATAGGAGCTGCAACAGTCTCTACAAAGCCTGGGATTAGTAGCAGCTGAGGCCCCTCAGGGGCAATATCATTAAGATTTTAGGAGACTTCAGACAATGGAGTCTGTGGCTGCAAACAGATCAGATTCTGTAGGGGAAAGCATGGAAGTATGCTTTTGGTCTCTGCAGTTAGACTCAGCATTCAGGGCTGCCCCATTAAATCCTGCATAGCTGTGGTAAAATCCCCCCCCAGGAGTGAAATGAGGGAGCAATGTCTGACAGAGCTAAGGAAGGTTCCAAGGAGTGCAGAGACAACCAGAGGACAATGATCTAGGCTGTCTATGTCAACCCCTTTAGAGGGTGCACTGCAGGCAGCATCTGAGCCGCTGGTGGATCGAAAGCTGGAGGAACCCAGAGTGTGATAAGGCTTTTTTCACCTTAGCAAAGTGAAAAGTCTAGAAAATGGTGTTTAATAACCCGTGATAAGTCAGGTAGGAACTGAAATATCTCACCTCTTCTCATCCTGGTGATAAGTACACAGAGAGTAATGGGAATGTACCTGTTTAATAAAGGGAGAAAAGTAGAGAACAGCTTTATCACTGGATAAGTATTGTGAAAAGTACCCTTGATTTAGCACCCTGTCAGACGTGGTGATAAAGGCCTTTTTCTAGTGAAGCACTGAGCAAAGATTCAGGAACTTGTCATAAACCTACTTCTTTTATAGACAGAGCAGGAAAAAGAAGCACAACTCCTTCACTATGTTTGATGAGGCTGATTTGGATTTGGCAGCAGCAATTGCTGCGTGCACAGCAGCTGCAGTACATGTAACCCAGGAAGGGATTGGGGATGTTCGGTTCAGGAAACCACGTTTGTACATGAACCACACAGTCCTGGATGAGCTTTTAGATTACAATGTGGACTGAACTGTCAGGGGATCATGGATTGCATCTGGAGGGCATGGCTACGGTGCAATTCACTTCAATGGCCCGCCGCCCCCCCTCCTCCTACCCCATTAAAAAGTAAGCCGCCCGCAATGCAAGGCAGTGCGTTCTGGGCAGAATCAAGCCGGAACACACTGCAACTGGTGTGAACGGGCCCTTAAACTGTCTCACCCCATTCTACTGATCACAGTGCTCTTGCAGCCAGTCATTGGGCTTGCACTTCACAGTGTTGTAGAGCTGCAGTCTGGATCAGTGTACTAGAAAAGGGATAACAAGTTGAGAAGAGGCAAATACAATGTCTACTCCAAATAGGTATCCAAGGCACTGCAAAGTTAAACATACCCTTTAGGGCTAGTTGACACCAAGCGCGTTCCAGGAGCAGAGCAGTTACAGACCGCATCAAAACTGCGTCCAATGGATTGCAATCATATTTTGGGCTCTAGTTCAGACCGCAGCGTTCAGTTCCAGAGCATGTGAAAAAACGATTTTTCATGCTCTGTAACGCATGCAAACGTATCACAAATGCATGTAAACGCACTGAAAGCCCATTTTAATGTAAAGAAAAAACACTTTTTTTTTTTTACAAAAAACGCCCGGAACGCAGCAAAAACCTTAGGGCTTGTTCACACCAATGCAGACCAGATCTGCAGGAGTCTCTGCACATGCAGTGCAGTGTGTTTTGTGGCGTTTTTGACGCCATTCAGGACCGTTTTTATCCAAACAATTTTTTTATTTTTTTTTACTTTAACCACTTGAAGACCATGGTGTTTCACCCCCTTCCTGGCCAGGCCATTTTTCAGTATTCAGCGCTGCGGTACTTTGATGTTTATTCTGTCATGCAACGCTGTACTGATACGAATTTTATACCATTTTTTGGGGACAGATAGAGCTTTATTTTGGTGGTATTTAATCTCCACTGGGGTTTTTATTTTACTATAACAAAAAAAGTACCCTAAATTTTGAAAAAAAACATGTTTCCCTATAAAATGTTATGAAACATTTATTTTCACCCCAATTTTTTGGTATAATATAAAAGACGGGGTCACATCAGGTAAATAGACACTAAACATGTCAACCTTTAAAATTGCTCACGCCCGCAAAATCGCAGAAAACGACCGCAACCAAAATTGGCCATAGGCGACGCTTTCAACGTTTTTACCGCTCATCAGTTTAGTGTTATCAGTGATTGATGGGCCTAGAATGATTGCTCTCACTGCAACGTTCGCGGCGATATGTAACATGTGCTGCATAATGGGTGCAATCGTTGTTTTCGTACATAGGCGCACTCGACGCATGTTTGCGTGTGTATGTGGGGGGGCGGGGGACTTTAAACATTTTTTTGTGTTATTTTTTGTGAATATTTTTTTTAGCTTCTTTATTTTTTTTAATGCTGTAATTTTTTTTTTTAACTTTTTTTTTTAGACTTAACTTTACTGCTATAACATAGGGGAATAAGAAATCCCCTTTGTAATATCCAGTTCACCAAACAGGTCCTCTTTATGGAGACATCAAGGGTCTCCAAGACCTCTGATGTCACCTAGGGACCCCCAGAGAAGCTGATGAAGCAGAGATCTGCTTCATCAGCTTCTGTCCGGTGTTCTGCTCCGGAGAGGGACACTGAATGCAGGAAGTGATGTAATATACATATACATGTATAATATACATGTATATGTAATAGGGGGGGGGAGGCCGCACACCCGCAAGCCTGATCGCTTGTATGTAAACAGCCATCGCTGGCTGTTTACATGCTCACAGTTTTCCCTCTCGTGTGCGCGCTGAGTGCTGCACACAAGAGGGGGGGAGGGGCAGGATGCCCTCCCGCTCCTAGCAGACTTCCGTCCGGCCGTTCACAAACGGCGATGGACGGCCGGTGGTTAAAATGTCCTTTCAGTGTGTTTACATGCATCCCAGGGCAGGAAAAATAAGGCTTGCTACAATTTTTTGACATTCCTCAATCCCATTGAGGAGAATTGATGCAAACTTGAAAATACAAAATCTGGAGCAGCTGTGCATGGCAAACAATCAGCTTCTCTCTTATTTTAGAATAGGAACAGAACAAACTGAAGAGAGAATCTGAATGGTTACTATGGGCAACTGCTCCAGATTTTGTCTGTCCAGTTTCCACGATTTCCCCTCATTGATTTTGAGTCGTTTGAATAGGGGACATATTACTCGACAAATAACTGAAAAAACAGACATATGATATACCCTTTCAAAGACATTAAAAATGACTCTGTTAGTAACAATAAATATTCATACATTGGTAGGGTCAATAGTAATAATTTAGTGATGTCCCTGGGTGGCATTTTTGTGTATCCACCCCCAAAAACAAATGATTCCCAGATGCATATGTCACATCAAATAAAAGACCATTTTTAATCCATTAAAAACAAATGAGAATTTGTGTTGGTGTGAGGAAGGAGAAACATGGCAATTATATGGAACAATGACAGTGCAAAAAGGGCCAGATTGCTTGGGACAACAAAGGGGTTATATGAGTAAAAGGCAAAAGTGAAGGGGTGTTTCATCACATTTGGCGAATATCGACATGGGTACATGCTTTAACCGGTTGCCGTCCGCCCGTTGCAAAACAGAGGGACAGCACAGTCGCATTGGCGGTTTGCCGTCTACAGATGGCATTTGTTTTCTGCTGGCGCCCGCCCACTAGCAGGCGCACGGGCAGAAAAAACCCGTCCAATGTAAAGAGCCATTACCAGCTGTTTAACATATACATGATCGGCGGCTCTATAGCCTGCCGATCGTGTGTATGTGCTGCCGGCGCTCCCCTCCCCACCCCCTCCCCCCCCTCGAGTGCCGCCACCGTGATTGTACCGCCGAAATTGAGCCCAGAGTGAAAGAGGACTCCAGTGGCAACCTGTGACGCTCTAGTGAACTCCATGCCCAAGAGGGTTAAGGCAGTGCTGGAAAATAATGGTGGCCACACAAAATATTGACACTTGGGCCCAATTTGGACATTTTCACTTAGGGGTGTACTCACTTTTGTTGCCAGCAGTTTAGACATTAATGGCTGTGTGTCGAGTTATTTTGAGGGGACAGCACATGTACACTGATATACAAGCTGTACACTCACTACTTTACATTGTATCAAAGTGTCATTTCTTCTGTGTCGTCACATGAAATGATATAATAAAATATTTACAAAAATGTGAGTGTGTACTCGCATTGACTAATATATGTATTATATTAGACATTTTTATTAGTTTCATGGATTTTAAAGAATGTGAATTGTAAAACTCTAAGCCAATAAAATAACTAACCCTTTATTTAAAATAACACACCAAAAATGTATTTTTTTCTAGTTTTGATTTTAGTTGAACTTTTTTTTTTTTTTGGGCATTTTTAAACTTTTTAATTATAGTTTAACTTTTTTTTTTCCCTTCACTTTATTGCTGGGAGCAATAGCCAGCCTGCTATTGGATATTTCAAATTGCAACAGCACCACCCACTGCCTGCTGTCAATCAGCAGAGAAAGGACCTGAAGGAGAAAGTTCTCCATCTTTGTTGATTGACAGCAGGCAGTGGATGGGTGAAATAGCCAGCCTGCTATTGCATTTTAAAATATCCAGTAGCAGGCTGGGTATGGCTCCCAGCCTCAAGATGCAGAGGAGGCAAGAGGTGGCAGCAGAGTCATGGGGGGGTGGCAGGAGCAGAGGAGGCACAGGGTGGCAGGGCAGCGGAGGAATGCAGTCACAGCAGTCTCTCCACCCCGCTGATGCCGGTTGCAGTGGTCTGTGTCCCCACTGCCTGTGCCGATACAGGCGGGGAGAGCAGCTGGGATTGAAAGGGACACAGACCACTGCAGCCAGCACCAGTTCCGGAGGAGCAGAGCGGCAGCAACTAATCGATTATGAGAATCGTTGCAAACTATTTTTTATTATCAATTTAATCGATTAGTTGTTGCAGCCCTACATTTGTCCAAAGTAGTCGGTCATATGCAACCTAATGGTCAGCATAACCTCATCAGTTAGGGGGGACTGCTGTGGAAGCAGGGAAAATGGTCAGCTGATGCAACTCCCCTTGCAGATTATTTACAGTAAAACAACTAGCAGCAGAAGATCACTAAATGAAAGGTCCCATCCTCGCCAACAGCGGTGGCCTACAATCTGGAAGGAGAGAGGTAGGTCACCAGAGGCAAAGGTGAGGGAATTTCCTCATCAGGTGTAGGTAATCAGAAAGGGAAGATCAGGATTCCTTTACCCATCACAAACCAAGCTTTGGAGGATATAGCCAAACAGATGAGCTCCTCTTATTTGGGAAGTTCTATAATGCTCTGCCACCTCTGGGTGGTCCCATCTCAGCATCTTCTGTGTCAAAATAAGTGACATCAAGAAATTTAAACTGATAGAGGAGAATAAACACTAATGTTATTACAAAGAGGTTGTAAAGATTGTTAGTCTGCAGAAAGATGAAAAGCGAAACATAGAATTCTAACCTTTGCCTATCTTTTCGGTCTCTGTGCTTCTCAGCATCTCTGCCTCTTTCCTTAACATCTTTGACTCTCTCCTCAACACGATCCTTTGTCTTATGCTTATCTTTATGTTTCTTTGAAACCGGAACTTCTTCTTGAGCGGGGGGTGGTGGACTTGGAGTCCGAGGTCCTTTCTTCTTGCTCTGAGCTCCTTTGGAATGTCTATGAAAGATTTCAAACCAAAGAGCAAAAAACATTAAGATGACTTCTATGGCAAATTTAAAGCCCGCCCTCCTCCCCAGGTGTGTGTGTATATAGAACTGCTCCTATGTAGTAACATAAGAGCCCCGTTTAGTGCAGCTCTACGAGCCCAGACAAATGATATAAGGCCGCTTCAGGGCATGTGTTCTCGACAGCCAGCATCTTTAAACCCACTTCCAATTATTCATCCTTAAGGAAGAACACCCTCTGATAGAGGATAGGATTTTCTGCAGAGGGCAGTGCCAAATTGAAAGTACTGCATCTGTAACCAACAAATATTTGCCTTCTTTTCCTTTACAGCCAGTAGCAAACGAGTTGTGTGTAAGCCACGTGTCGCTACAGTTAGGGATGCACAGATACCGATAATCGTTGCCAATACTGAGTATTTTCACGAGTACTCGTGAAAATGCCTCCATACTAAAAGAAAATACCGACGCTTTAAATTTGCTGGGGATCTCGGCAGCCTTCCCGAGAACCATGCAGCGCCTTTTTACAGCGCTAGCCGCACATCTTCCTCCTTCCTGGGCAACCCTGCTGCCTGCACTCGCCTGCGAGACCCTCTTGACCTCTGGTGAGACCCCGCACAGCCCACCTGAGATCCTCTGCTAGAGACATCAGGCCGGCACCCCAGAGCAGCAGAGTATGTAGCTTTTATATTATTCTGCATTGCTGTATAATGTATTGCACAGCGTGATGCGGTTGTACTAAATCATGCCTGGCTTCACTGAAAAAAAGTACAGCACCCATCATAGTGCCCCCCTTACATTAATTACAAAAATAAGGGGGCACTCTGATGGGGACAACAATAATAATTCTTTATCCCCATCAGAGTGCCCCCTTTATTTTTGTATTAATTGTAAGGGGGCACGCTGATGGAGGTAGCCAAAGTAAGAGGGCACTCCGATAAGGAGTATTACTTATTAGTTGGCCTCATGAGTGTCCCCTTACATTGGTGGTCCCTGGAGTGCACCTTTAAAATGCTGCCGTCGCACAAATCTGTTTTGGAGCCAGAGGATTCTGAAGGCGGTGCTGGAAGGGGCCATGAGGCAGGACAGACTTCGTGCTGCAGGGAAGGAGAGAAGACTATACTCTTCTGTCCTCCCTTAATGCTCGACAGGGTAGAAAGCCGACATTATTGGTTACTAGGAACGCTGCGGTCCTAGCAGCCACTTACTGAGGAGGAATGGGGACCTGCGTTGATTGCGGTCCAGATAGAACCGCTACTCGGTCAGCATCTGGACCATGCTCCACCATTTAGGGACCCCTGCCGTATAATGTATCGCTGGAATTTGTAGTCCTCTATAGCTGATGGTATTTCTCTACATTGCTGTATAATATATTGCTAGGATTTGTAGTTCCTCTACAGCTTGGAGTCAGTGGCAGAACTACCAGGATTGCAGAGTTTGCAGCTGCAATCGGGCCCTGGCACTTCACCACTGCCCTAAAAGTCTGTATTGTTTTAGAAAAACTGTCACATGAAAAGTATTGGGAGTACTCAGTACTCGTTTTCAGTCTGGAAAAAATGGTATTGGCGCATCCCTAGCTACAGTCATTGCTTACAGAGCCATGGACCTCACAATGACAATACTGACTGTCCCAGCGCTGTCACATGCTTATCCATGTGACAGCGCTGGATATTTACTTGGCTTCTGATGCTGAACAAAGTGGAGGACAACTGAAGGAATGTATATGCTTGGGGGGCTACATTATTGCAAACATTTTGCTTTGCCGTGAACAATTTTGTATACTTTTAAATGTATTGTGTAGAATAGAGGAGTGGGGACACCCAAAGATGGGCGATAAAATGGAAATCATCGCAATGGGTACGAACTGATCTAGCGACTATAGCAGGAGAATAATAAGGTAAGAGGAAAAAAAAAGGAAGGCAGTGAGTGCCTCAGTGCAATAAACCACACCCATAAAACATGATTTTGTAATGAACAAGAATGCTGTAAACAAAAAAAGGCAAAACCTTACACTGACCTTGTTGGTAAATCTGACGGCGGTGGAGATGCTCCTGTTGTACTCCTCTTTTCTTTTTTGCTGGTGGGGTTATTGGACTTTGGGCTGGACTTTCGTTTTGGAGACTTGCTGGATTTACTTGGTGAGGGAGACCTTTTTGCTACAACTTCAGGTGAAATCTAGAAGCAAAAAAATTAAAATGTCTTTTCAGATACAGTCATCCAAGTCAGGAAATCTAGTGGATGTAAATCAAACACTACCATGCATCAAAGAGAATGGAAACCTGGCTACTGATTCTGCCCACTGGCAGAGATGAATATATATTGAATATAAGGTCAAGGAATGCAAAGACCCTGGTGGACCAGAAAAAAAAAAACTATTAAAACACACACACACCATACAGCCGCTACACAAACTTACTAATACCGTGTTTCCCCGAAAGTAAGACCTACCGCTATCTTCAGGGATTTCTGTAATATAAGACCTACCCCAAAAATAAGACCTAGTTCGGTGGTAGATCTTATATTACAGAAATGCCTGCAGATAGCGTTAGTTCTTATTTTCGGGGTAGCTGCATATATAACTGAATTTTAAATGTGAAGACGGGCTGCAGCTCCCGGATCCCCCGCCCACCCACACGCCCCCCCACACGCACGGCCGATGGAAGCAGCATATCATCCGCCAACTTCGACATCGGGACTGGCAACAGCATGCCGCCTTCCGGGACCTCGTCCAGTCCTGCGAGTACTCCTCCCCAGCCCGGTACTGTCTGCCGCCGGGACTATCTTGTACTAACACTGTTCGGAGCTGAGAGCTTCAGGCAGCTGCAGCCAGGCAAAAATAAGACATCCCCGAAAATAAAACCTAGTGTCTTTTTTCATGGAAAAAAATAAAATAAGACAGCGTCTTATTTTCGGGGAAACACGGTATGTCATAACACCTTTACTCGAAGAGCTTCACTCCTCCAGTTAACACCATCATCAATGAGGTGCATGTTGAACAATTCACAGCTTGGGTTATGCACTTCATTCTCAACCATCAGATGAACCTAAGACGCCAACTGGATGCGTGAAGAAGGCTTAAGAAAAATCAGTAATCCAGATGGGTTGGGTTTGATTTACTACCTCTAGATACAAAAGTAGAGTCCGCAGGTGAATAGATAGTAGAAATCTCTAATTAGCAGAAGAGGGGATAATTTGTTTATGGCGATAGATCACTCATGGGTCGGCTATGGTAATGTATCCATAAATAGAACCTGTCACCACTACCGTGCTATCATATATAGCTCGTGAGCCCCCTAATAACAATAGAGTGGTTTTAAAAAACTTTTGTTTTGGTTAAAATTTTAAAACATTTTCAAAGTCCCCCACCCCCGGGTAGACACAAACACGTGTCAGATGCACCTACGTACAAAAAGGATGATTGTGCAACGTATGTTGGGCAAATATTGCCAGAGAAAGCAATATTTATACGGCCATTACTCAGGGTTAACTCTAAATTCATGACCTGTAAAAGCATTGCCCATGGAAGTTTAGAAAAAATATTGTGTGACATAAGAAACTTCAACTGCCACCATTGCAAGGTTCTACTACCTTGCTGGATCTCCAAAGGCCAAGTGCCTTTGCTAAGTGTGAAGGGAACAGCCCCTCTGCATTGTGCATCAGTCAAAGTAGCAAAGCCAGCACCCTAGCAAGCACCCCTTCAATAAACACCTTTCACTCAGTCTTGCCAAACGTAAGAGTTTCCTGAGCACAAACAGGCAGAGTGAGGACAGTTAGGCCCCATTCACATACGAATCGGCCTGCAAGTACAGCTCCATGCTGCGTGCGGGGCCGTACCAAGCAGCTGCCGGGAAGGATAGGTACTGCGTGTGATTAGTACGCAGCCCCCGTCCTTCTCTATGGGGCTACGCGGCCATACTCCCCCCTACGCTGGCCTCCCCTGCACTTCCGTAGGGGTGCGAGTGAGCATATTCATACGCCGCCGGAATGGATCCTGTATGCGTCCCAGCCAGAAAACCTGCACCCCTACAGAACTGCAGTTGACGTGAGCATAGGGGGGCGTACAGCCACGTAGCCCCATAGAGAAGGACTGGGGCTGCGTACTAATCACACGCAGCACCTGTCCTTCCCGGCAGCTGCTTGGTACAGCCCCGCACGTAGTACAGCAAAATATCCACAGCAGTAAAGCAAGGGGGCAGGCACCTTAGCCATACTACTAGGAACATTCACCCGATTTTGAACAGAACAGAGGGAGGGACCAATCTCAGGTGATCAGGTCTCAGAAAGGCCTTTGGACAGACTCGATTCCCAACAGGTCATACCTACAGCAGGATCCCAGCATGTTATTAATGCATTGTCTCTAAGGAAGAGAATAGTACTCTCAGCGTCATCCAGCGTGGGGACCAGGCAATTTGTTCTGTTACAACTCCCAAAATGTCCCAACGATGAAGGTCCTGCAACACCTCAGCGATGTCCAACAGATTGCAGGTTAGGAAGCAGACACGCGATGAGATCTTGACAAAAACGGGGACAATCTATTCTGGAGAACCAGACTTAAGCCGAAGGCATGAAGAAACACAAGTAGAGTCCCTCCAGAACAGCAAGAAGAAAACACTCCATTCACCCTACAGAAACTGATGGGTCATGTCAGGAGCTACTTGGTCCATAGAGACCATCTATATGTCTCACTCTAAACCCCAGCCCCAAGGAATCAAGAGAAAGGCTGAAAAAGACAGGGAGAGAAGGGTCATTATGTTTCCAAACAGCTGGCTCCAACTTTCTTAGCTCAGCTTCCCTGAACTTCCTGTTGAGTACAAGATCACAAGGCAGAGCAGTCTCCAGCAGCCATCCATCTACTAGCTTGGAAAAGGGAGGAGGGGAGCAGAATAGTGTCTTGCCTTGCAGACACATACAGCTTACTAGCACACACAAAGGAGGCACCAATGGACCCAGTAAGAAAAAGAAAAGGAACGTTTTAAACATTAAGGTAATCCATCCATTGCAAGTTATCCAATCAGCATTTTAAATAGCTTAAAAAACATTTGACTTTAATATCACTAAGGTTACCATCCACACGGGGCAGAGGGCCAGATCAGCCAACTCAAACTGGGATTTAAGGAGGGACTTTAGCTGCATGTCAGTGGAATCTCAAAAGGTAAGCACACCCTCAACTAGCCTAGTGGTCTTCCAGTTTAGGTAGGCCACTGGTGCATCCACAGTGGGAACAAACCACCAATTTACAAATTCCCTTTCAAAGGGGGTACGTTATGACACACTGGGCAGCCCAGTACCCTTCAGAATGTTTCCAGTTTGCATGTAGGAATGAGTTAAATAGCAGGTGAGCAGAAATGTATATGCAGCCTTAAGGTGCCCATACACTGCTCGATTCTCGTACGAGAATCGCGGGAAATCCAGCGATCGTACGAGAATCGAGCAGTGTGAACGGAGACGTGAGACCGTTACTGTACAGTCGCACGTCTTTTGTCTAAGGAGCACGCTAGAAAACCAGCCGAAAATCGTACGATTTTCGGCTGGTTTGAACGGTGCTCGGGAGACAAATGCCGATTGGGCCGGTGTGCGCACGCGCACACTGCCCGTTCAGCATTGCGGTCATCGGAAGCCCGGCCCTCAGGGGGGCGGGCTTGCGATGATCGAGAGTACAATCTGCCTGTCCAAGATGGGCAGATCGTACGTTTTTTTAATCACTTTACAACCATCGCAAGACCTTGTACAGTGTATGGCCACCTTTAGGAACACTAAAAAGGCCTGAAACAACAGGCAGGTCCTCCACATGCAGAGCAATACGCAGTACATCAACAAAAGATTGCACCACTTAACCTCCCTGGCGGTCTGATTATCAGTATTTGTTCCTCTCTTTTACTTTTGAATTTCCCGCTGGTTCCACCCCCCCTGTGACGCAGACGCTCGCAAGGGAAGGAACCCGGAAAAAGTATGCCGGCATCGGCCGGAGGACACAGAGGGGATCGTAGGAACAAGGTAAGTGACGCACAGTGTAATCCCGAGTGCAGCTCGGGGTTACTGCTTTTGGTACTGAAAATTAACCCCGAGCCACACTCGGGATTACCGCCAGGAAGGTTGAAGCCCATCTCCAAGGGAAATTCTAAAAAGACTAAACAAAACCCAAAACCTCTCCTTGCAGTGGGGCTCCCCACACAATGCAAGGGCTAAAAATACTGATTTGTCTATAGGGTATTGTGTTAAGGACTGCCTGATGTCCACTTCCCAGGCAGTTGGTGCTCAACTCATCTCCCCTACATTCAAGCTCGAGGACAGTCCCTTGGCATCCCCATATATAATGCAGGGCTATGGAGCCCTGTATTGCAAGCGATGGCATGAGCAAGACTGACTGCTGGCGTACAGAGGAAGGGAATAGCTTGCAAGTGCTTTTCTTGGAGCCTGCGGGAGCAAGTAAATAAATGCTCTTTATACAACACCCGAAACATAAACAAGCAATTAACCCTTGCAATGTGTGGGGTAGCCCCACAGCAAGGGGAGTTTTTTTTTCTCTGGAGATAGTGACCGACACCACTGCTTTAAACTAAAGTAAACATTAAGGCATGCTGGGTAGAGGAGTTAAAAGGGCTAGTCTGCAATTTTTCTGTTTGCTAGTGTCCAAAAACCTCTTGTAGGTGGCAGTATAACCCAACTGTGAATTCCTGTGTCCATCGATAGATGAAACAGAAAATTGATATTTAAAAAAAAGCTGGACAAATCCCAGGAACCAGGCAGCCAATGCTCCTTAGAAATTACAACTGGTGCCTAAATATCGATGTTCTCTGTCATCTACAAAACTGGCTCCTGGATTGGACAGACTGACTCCCGATTAATTTGTCCACCCGGTTATAAATGCATAACGTAATTGTATTACACAGAGATATGTAATTGTTTTTTGTTAATATTTTAAAAGTACAATCTTTGTTCAGAGAGAATGATAAATACCTCTTTCTTTATGACAATCTCTTCTCGCTTTTCCATGTTCTCCTGTTCCAGTTTCATTAATTCTCGCTGGATCTTCTGACGCTTCATTTCCAAGGATAATTCGTGGTCATAGTCATAACTACCATCACCATTATCTGAATCTACTGTGATGGAAGACATAAAATGGTGGGTGCATATACATAAATACATACACCAACCTATAGATATATATTACCTAAAAAGAACATTACCTACTCTTATCACAAAATAGTCATTTTCTAAGGAAAAGTTTCTTGCCACTGCTCAGATCACAAAGGGTTTGTTGCAAGACATCAAACCAGAAGACAAACTGCGCACATCATACATATGGATTTTAGCCTCATTAAAAGTCAAACACAGGAGGAGTGTTAGAGCTACTTAGAATTAGCCACCAGGCATAGAGCTAAACTCATGAATATGTTCTGAAAGCACTGCGTACATGCTCTAATTCAAACAAAGCCTATAAACCTACCTACTGTGCAAGCGAGGCTGTGGCCATATAAATGTAACAGCAAAAGCATGAGCATTTCTTGTCACAGCTTTCTAGAAGTTCTGATGGTGGAAGTCATTTAAAAGATAGTACAAAATGATTAAATTATGCAGCAGATCACAAGACTGGCTTGACTGTCAATCTAAGTCTTAATGCTCTATTTACATACAAAATGTATTTTACCAGCATGAGGAAAACAATTAAAAAAGTCCACATGTATACACAAATCAGCAAGGGAGATAAACTAAGCGTCAATTAATTATGAAGCTCCATTTATAACTGAAGGAAATTTTTTCGGAGTGACAAAACAGCTCCTTTGACTGTAAAGAAGATGCTTTGTGTGTGTTTAATACAAGCAGCAATTTTAACTTAATTTTGTTAAATAAAGAAACACAACAGGTATCCTGTTTCTTTCTCTGCAAGCTGGTCATAAAACCTCCTTCCTCAGTGTTGTGGAAGCCAATTTTCATCTGGATCATGAAATTGAATACTTGTATTCGACACCTATAAGAAGAATAGCCTGGCATCTAAATATGTTGCATAACTGCCTTCCTTAGACATGCCCTCTAAGTGTGCAACACAGCAGCTCGGTGGTTAGCAACCGAGCTGATTAAATTCCCATCAGAACAGTCTGCATCCCCTTCAAGTGTGTTTTTACAACAGGAAAAAAAAGTTAGCAATGGCAGTTCCAGTGACAGGACAGGGGAAGAGGAAGCCGGCAGTAAACCTGCAACATACAGTAGAACACACACACACCTACAAAAGCCTAGTAGTGTAGGGAAGAATTAAACCCCATGTTAGGCATTTCAGCTGTCTGTGTACCCACTGTGGGGGGATTCTTCTCACTTCATATAAAGTCACCAGTACTGGGAGCGCACACATTGCACACCAAGCAGCAAATGACCCAAACGGTTAGTGGGTGCTGCAAACAATCCTTACTGGTAACTTTTGTTAAAATGGTCACATATGTATTGGGTGACCGCTCCTGCCAAAGAAGAAAGTGAATCGAAGGCCAACATTTTTGAGCTGTCCTATAATAAGAGGCAGGGAAAAATCTTAAAATGGGGACACCTGATCCAGGAACAACTGTCTAAGAGGGGAATTCTCATCACTTTGGGGGATCTCCTCTAACTTCCTGTTGTGTCTGAAAGGGAAAAAAAAAAACCTTGCAGGGGTTTTAATCCTTTCCTGCTCTATCGAAAAACTAAAAACAAAAAGGAAACTTTAAAAAAAAAAAAAAAAAAAAATCACATGTGAGACTCTTAAAAGTACATTTCCAAGAGAACTATAGGATTTTTCATAAATGTTTTTCTATCCAACATCATACTCACTCATTTTCCCACGCCGGTCAACTGTGTCAAAAGAAAAATACCCAATGGCAACTGTTAAAAAGTCTAAAAATAAGCAACAGGCAGAGCATGTGCAATTCAAATATTTTAGTATGTTGTATAGTTTTATATAGTAAAGAATCTTGCACACAGCCGCAAGACATATCGCACACATTTACAGAGTTTATCTTTTTCCTGCTAGTGACAGCTGCACCATACAGCCAGTCTGTACAAATCAATATGTATTGGTATGTATGCAAACCCCTACGGTTTTAATGAATAGTGGGACTTGCAGACTGCCCTGGATCCACGCTGCGTTCAGTGCAGTGCTTAACTACTTGCAGTCCGGGGACAATTTCCTAATTTTTGCATACACCCGATAAAATCTGCATTTGTGGCTAGAAAACAGCTTAAAACCCCAAAATAATGCAATTTTTCATGTCGCGCGGTATTTGCACAATCGTTTAACAAACCAGTATTTTAAAGGAATAAATACACTAAAATGAAATTTAGTGCACAGAAACAGATTATAATATCCTTTTATATATGACAAAACATTGGGTAAGGGTCATATCAGGTAAATTGATAAATATGTCAAGCAGTAAAATTGCGTGCCCCTGTGAAATCGCAAAAAACTACAATACCCCAAATTTCCCATAGGCAAGGCTTTAAAAGCTTTTACCGCTCATTAATTTAGTGTTAATAGTGATTGATGGCCTTAGAATTATTGCTCTCATGCTGATGTTCGTGCCGATATGCAACGTCATTTTCGCATGTTTGTGTATGAATAAGCGAATACAAAAAAAATGTTAATGTTTTTTTTTACACTTAACTTTATTAGTATCACACAGAGGGCTAACAAGCACCCTATGTAATAGCAAAGAGGATGTGACAGGTCCTCTCTATGGAGACATCAGGGGTTTATTAAACCCCTGTCACCTAAGGACCTCAAAGAAGCTGATTAAGCAATGACACACTAAAACCGGAAGTCGTGTAATACACATCGCTTCCAGGTTCAGTTATCCGAGGGGAGATCAGCAACTGGAAGTGTGCTATCTCCCTCTGATTGAAGTGAATAGACCCACCATGTCAGTGATGGGCCCACATAGGGGACAGCAGACCCTGGGACAGCCGGTGGCAGCATCGGGGGGGGGGGGGGGCGCACAGCCACCCGGTCATTGATTTGTACAGTGTAGCTGACAATTACAGCAAGAGAAATATGCCGCAATGTGCGCTGTACTGCACTCCTGCAGCTGTGTGCAGGAGACATAAGAGCTACTGTTACATTTGTTCAGGGTTCCCTAAACTAGTATATTTAATACAAATTTCCCAAAGATTTTGTTCTCAAGTTCTCACCTTCTCTAGTGGTTTCCCATTCACCCCCCTCCTCATCACTTTCTGGAGTTCTCTCTTTAGTAATCTTGATATCTTCCTTTTCTCTGTGTCTCCCCCTGGAAGACTCTTTCTACAAGGAAATAAGGAAAAGACATGGTTGAACAGTGCATGTACCATTACATTGCCACACAACACAAGAACCCATGACCACCAACACTGCCACAATTGTAAACACACAAATCTGCAAAATCAGTCTATTTTTCTATTTTATGTACGGTATATACAAATGGGTGTATTTGCAGTCAAGTAACATTATAAAAAAAAAAAAAAGAAGAAGTATATCAGATAAAATCAATCCAAGTATATAGTATAGTACAAAAAGAAAAAAAAAGGAGTAGTGAAAAGAAGCTGCATATATATCCAGAAATATAGGGCGGTGATATGCAAATCTTTAACTTTTCCTGTCAAAGGTCCAGTGTATCCCTGCCCCATACCAACTCCTGAGACTCCTGTTTATGGCATTAAAAAGATCAATGGAGGCTCAGGAGATTGAAGGCATGTGCCCAAAACTGTTAGAAGAAAATGGCAAATTTTCCTTTAACTTGAGCAGCCTATATCACAGAAAATGTTGATCAATTTGACACTTAGGCCCCGTGCACATTGAGCGATTTATCGTGCGGTAATTCACGTGATATCACGGCTATTTACCACGCGATATCGCGCTCCAATGCTTGGCAATGGGGCAAAGGGTCCTGCTGTCGCGGGTCGTGTATCGCTACAGCAGGACCCTTTTTTAGAGCGGATTTTGCCGCGATTCAATGCTTTTGCGCAACAAATCGCGCAAAATGCAAATCGCGCGATTTGCGGATCACGCAGTGTGAATGGGGCCTTAGAGTTAGTTCACACCATATGCAGTGCGTTCAGGTCCGATTCTGGCCGGAACGCTCTGCCTCGATTTGTGGCCAGCTCACTTTTTTGCAGGGCTGGAGGGGGCGTGGCGGGCCATTGAAGTGAATGGCACCTTAGCCAAGCCCTCCGGCTGCAATACAATCGCCCGCACAGGATCGCAAGGCACATTGTGCCTGCAGTGCGGTCCGATCAAAATGCTGCAAGCACTATTTTGACTCTAGAGAAGTGGACACCTGTTCCCTGGAGTGACTAATAGTGTCTGGGTTTGGTGGTTGCCAGGAGAACGGTACTTGCCTGACTGCATTGTGCCAAGTGTAAAGTTCGGTGGAGGGGGGGGGATTATGGTGTGAGGTAGTTTCAGGGGTTGGGCTTGGCCCCTTAGTTCTAGTGAAGGGAACTCTTAAGGCATCAGCATACCAAGACATTTTGGACAATTTCATGCTCCCAACTTGACTGGCCTGCACAGAATCCTGACCTAAACCCCATAGAACACCTTTGGGATGAATTACAGCGGGGACTGCGAGCCAGGCCTTCTCGTCCAACATCAGTACCTGACCTCACAAATGTGCTTCTGGCATAATGGGCAAACATTCCCATAGACACACTCCAAAACCTTGTGGACGCCTTCCAAGAAGAGTTGAAGCTGGTATAGCTGCAAAGGGCGGGCCAACTCAATATTGAACCCTAAGGACTAAGACTGGGATGCCATTAAAGTTCATGTGCGTGTAAAGGCAGAATACCCAATACTTTTGGCAATATAAAGTGCATGTAAAGGCAGTAGCGCTCCATGGAAATGTGGAACCGGCCGTACACCTCTTCCTTCCCGAGACCGGCACAGACATTTCAGGTCGCACCACAATGGTTATTTATCAGATCTGTTGCCCGTTGGGAAAAAAAAAAATCTATGTGAAACCTTTGAATTAGGATTGGTGAACTCCTGCGGGATATTGTAACCAAAAAAACCCCAAGCCCTTTTGCAAAGCATTTTAAGAAATGTTGTGGGCCTCCATAGCCTTGAAATAACATTACAGATTTTAATCAGAGACAAACATGAAGCATAATTACTCTTCACTAAAAGCTTAACCATACCCGTGAGGGAGAAGCTTGTTCTTCAGCAGAACGTTTTTGAGGCTCCGTCTCAACCTCCTGGCGCTTATTTTTCATTCGCTCACGCAGATCTCCAGTTGGTCTATCTGGTGACCTGTGAAGAAATGAATGCAAAAAGATATAAACCTTTAAAATTCATAATTACCAACTTTCAAAATCTAAATAATTACTAATTTTTAGGAACCGGCCAAAATTTGCAGAGTGGGTGCCGCTGTCGACACCCTTCCACCCGACATCCCTCAAATCACCAGATCAAATGAGCAAATCATTGGTCAAATGAAGCTTGCAGCCAATCAGCTGCTAGCTCTGTTCGGGTGTTCGGACAGTGGCCGGCAAACAGCGGGGGATTCGTCCATCAACGCTTGAAAGCTTTGGAGGAATCTGTTCTCTTTTGGGGGGGGTTTTTCGTTCAGCCTGTGGGTTACATGAAAACCCCTTCAAACAAACAAAGTGTGAACTGTGTATGATGAAATTAAGAAAACTCTCCAAATGTCTGTTCTTCTAAACCAGGTGCTTAACCTCAACAGAGTGCTTAAAGCGACACTAACTTAGCAATTACATTTTAAAAATGCATTAAAAGTAACTTAAAAAGACTATTAACAATATTGGACCTGATTTGTGCATCTATCAGCTGTAGATCCTCAAATCATCTCTGAATTGGTGCCGACACTGTCCTTCCTTCTGGAGGGAGGCTACTTTTGTTCCCCATGGTCCCTGTGTGTGTTGTAAAGTAGTCACCGCCCCAAGCTCACTACTGTGATGGATTACAATCTCAATACAAATTTGTAAACTGAACATGAGATTGTAATCCATCACAGGAATAAGATTGGAGCGGTGACTACTTTACAACACACACAGGGACCATGGGGAACACAAGTAGCCACCCTCCAGAAGGAAGGACAGTGTCAGCACCAATTCAGAGATGATTTGAGGATCTACAGCCGAGTGATACACAAATAATCTACATTTTTATTAATATTTAGAAAGGTACTTGAAAGTATTTTGTAAGATTTAACTCCTAAGTTTAGTGTCACTTTAAAGCAGACCTTACAGTAAAATGAAAGGTCCACCTAATTTATCAGATCCCATCCATCAAAAATAGCAGCTTAATTGTTAGAAGAAAAGAATCACACAGGAAAAAAGAAAAGAAAAAGTTAGTACACATATCATGCTGCTTCTGGGGTGATTTCAGAATGCAGAGTATACCAAATCTTGAGAAGACACTTCAGTACAGCACAGTGCAGTAGTAGTAGTAGGAGGAGGAGGAGTATATCCCTTTGGCAATCATAAGTGAAACTTCATGACAGAAAAGGGAATACATTGAGGATAGTAAACAAACTATTGATACAGTACCGTCACATTTCAACAAACAGCAGGAATGATTTAAAAATGTAAATAACATACAAATTACCTTCGATATGATCCGCTAAATCCTTTTCCTCTTGGTGAATGTATAAATCTGCAAGTGTTACCATATGCACAGTTTCCAGTTTTCATCCAGTTACGACACTGTGTCTGAAAATATGGGAAGTATGGAATCAGATCACGTTTAGCTGAAAAAAATTAAATGCTTTCAGTTAGAGAAGTACGCTGCTCTTACCTCTGCACTACTGCCAGTGCTAGGCCCAAGCCTCTCAAAAACACTTGGTCTACGTGATGTGCTATCCGATATGGTCTTGGTATTTTCTACTGTGACCTTCCGTCGGATTTTTGACATTTTGTTCTTTTTCTTAGCTAGAAACACATCAAGAATGATTTTTGTAAAAGCAGGACCAAACACAGGATAACCCACAGTGTAACAAAAATCAGACAGCTCACTATGACCCTGTTATAAAGGTTATGCACCAATTTTCTAACTGATCCAACACCGTTATTTTTCCATCAAGAACCAAGAAGTGTCAGCATAATCTGATGCCTCTTGAAAATTCCTGAAGTGTTCCTGGGATTTGTAGTCCCCTAATAACCAAATATGATCTGTTCTTAAAACATAACGCATATCCAGCTTTGTACTTTTTTTAATCTACTTTCCTACTTGCTTTTCTGCATGCAACAAAGTCTGGATAGGACTTTACACAGAACGTTTTACTTTTAGAAATTTAAAATGCCTAACACATTCAATGTACGGGCACATTCACATGCGTCATAAGCAAGTGGAACTAGCCATGATTAGGAATATGCTCCAAAAATTGCACCAAAGTTGCTAAAGGAGATTTTAGTTTTTTTAAACGTACCATACAATATATACACACACAAGAGCCCTGTCTTAAATCATAACCCCTGAAGGTCCAAAGGGTCTGAATGAGAGCAATCTAAACATGTATAGATAGTGGAAAGCAGGTAACTTGGCTTTTTGGGCACAGCTTATTTTCAGGGTGCAAAGCAGTTGAATTGGTGAATGGTTCTGATTTGCCTGAATATATTCATGTAGACTTGTAGAATTGTCACAGAACCATACAATCCATGATTTACAAATGTTAGGCTCTCGAAACCGCATAATTCTCTACAGATCTACCTTCGAATATTCAAATATACACAAAAGATAAATACAAAAATGTGTGATTTGCTGGTTCTTAAAAGCTAACAAGCACTAAATTGTTACGTGTATGGTCACACATCTCTCCTCTACTAAAGAAAACCTATACTGAGAGAAATATGGAGGTTGTCCTTTCTGACCTCGTTCTGGTAATCTCGGCTGCCTGGCTAACATGCAGATCCAATAGATTCTGCACTCCTACTCTAGAACAGGAGTAGATAACCTAGGCACACGAGCTGTGGTGAACCAACGAATCTCTTCATACTTCTGCGAGTCAGGCCTGTAGCTGGCAGGGTCTTGTAGTTTTACCACAGCTGGAGTGCCGAGGTTGCTTAGCTCTTATCTACAGCATGTGTTTAACTTTACTTGGTGCATTCTTATGCTTTATAAGGTTTCCAGAAAGAAGTCAGCAATAGCAGTGTACATTTTTCTCACAGGACAAGTCTCTAGAAATACACAACACAACTGGAACAGGTTTTATGCAGGTCAGAAGTAGCACCTGTCAGTGAATGCTGAATGATTTTAGAAGCATCTGGCTCAGAGATCTGCCCTACCCTGTCTGCTGCTCAAGTAATTTTTGTTCTAGTTGTAGAGTAAAAAAAAGTTTTTTTCTGTTTTGGATAGTTCAGGGAACTATCCTGATTTTTTGTTGTCGTTGCTTTGTGCTATGTCCTGTTAGGGAGATTTGCACCATTGGTAAACTAAAAGGGCCCTTGACTGCTGTATTATTATAAAAGGTGACCTAACACTTCAAAGCTGAAGTTAAAGCGTAAACTATGAGGCGAGTGCTTTTCACTCATCCTCATAGTTCTAGCCGACCTGTGACAATGAAACTGTCACCGGTCGGCTCAGTAGATCGAGAAGTGAGCGAACACATACCGGCGTTCGCTCACCTCTTGATCCTGTCACAGTTCTCTGCCGTGACAGGGGAGGGGCTGGATTCCCCCCTTCCCGCTCCGATCTGCCAGAGCTGACTGGCGGATCGGACGGGGGAGGGGGCAGGTACAGCTGGCTCTGCCTCTAGATAGGCAGAGCCAGCTGTCAGTCACGCAGCTGGGCGGATCCAGACATAATTGTCGGGATCCGCTTCAGCTGCGGCATCTTAGTATACCGCGAGCTGTAGCTTGCAGTATACTGAGCCTAGGGTGACGGGAGGACGCTAGTTTGTGTCCTCCCGTTACCCTGAGAACTATGGGGAAAAGCCTTAACCCCATAGTTCTCCTTTAAGTTGCCCAGGGACATAACTTACCACCAATACGTGGTGTCACACGTCCTGGTGACTAATTATTGTAGAAATCCTTCCACAAGTACTGCCAGGTATCCCCTACATTGCTCATCATTGGTTCTGTGGGGATAAGGCCTCATTCACACTGCGCTAACTCGGGACATTCCCGGGACAGGTGCTGCATGTAGCAGCCTACTCTTCACTATGGGAGGATGCGGCGGGACTCACACCCGAACTGCACATCCTGTCTGCATCCGAGTATGGACACCCGGACCGGCACTGATGTGAAGTTCTGGGGTGCGTACAGCCTTGTCCTCCAATAGGGAAAAATAGGCTGCTACACGCAGCACCTGTCCCTTCCACAGACGTGTATGCCCCGAGTTAACGCAGCGTGAATGAGTCCTAAAAGAGAACTCTGGCCAAAACTTTTTGTGATGTTAGTTCTCTTTTGGGTCACAGGAGGACATTTAGTAATGTCCTCCTGTGGCCCAAAACTCAGCATATAGCGGGCCGTGGTCCACTATATGCTGACAGTGGAGAGACGGGCTGCAGCCAGGAAAGAGCCCGACAATATTGTCAGGACTGCTACCCGATTGATGGCTGGCTCTGCCTCTCTGGATCCAGACACAGCTGTGCCAGCCCCTTCCCGTCTGTCCCTCCAATGAGCACTGGAGGAACAGAAAAGGGAGGGGGGAATTCCTGTGGGGAGTGGTGACTGACAGTCACTGCTCCCTGCAGGGAAAAGCCATGAGCTGACTGATCAGTGGTTTGTAATCGCCAAGTTTCCAATCTCTAAAGCCGACATGTGACAGCTTCAGTGTCACACATTGACTCCAACTATGGCCATGAGTACATTTCACTCTCCCCAAAATTCTCCTCCCATCTGACAAAGCCTGCTCAGCCACCATTCATAGAAACTGTACTAATATTTTCCACAATACAAAGTGACCTGTGATTGGATGAGGGGTGAAGAACTGACAGCAACCACCTGCTCCAATCACAGGTCGCTTTGCAGTGTGGGAAATAGTACCATTTCTATGAATGAAGGCGAGAGGTGCAGCCTTTGCTCACTTTTTGACATGGTAGGATCAACACTGTAGGGGGTTTACACAGAACTTATGGGAGACTTTCTACACTAAGCAGCAGTCACTAGGACATGGAACCCCACACGTAGGTTATGACCCCGGGGCTGCATAACAAAAACTAAACTGCACAAGTCTTCAGCTTTAAAGGAGAACTATGAGGTGAGTGCTTTTCACTCACCTCATAGTTCTAGCCAACCTGTGACAATGAGACTGTCACAGGTTGGCTCAGTATATCGGGAGGTGAGCGAACACATACCGGCGTTCACTCACCTCTCACAGCTCTCTGCCGTGACAGGGGAGGGGCTGGATTCCCCCCTCCCCGATCCTCCAGCGCTGACTGGCGGAACGGACAGGGGCGGGTACAGCTGGCTCTGCCTCTAGATAGGCAGAGCCAGCTGTCACTCACACTGCTGGGCGGATCCAGACATAATTTTCGGGATCCGCTTCAGCGTCTCAGTATACCGCGAGCAGCAGCTCGCAGTATACTGTGGCGTCTCAGTATACAGCAAGCTGTAGCTCGTTGTATACTGAGCTTAGGGTGACGGGAGGATGCTAGTTTGTGTCCTCCTGTTACCCTAATGAGAACTATGGGGGAAAGCCTTAACCTCATAGGTGTGGATGAGGCTTTTCTATGTGTCTGGAGCTCAGCTCTCATTGGGGCCCAGCGTGTTATATGAGGACACCGTCTATGTGGGAGCAGAGCTCTCCTGGTAAACACACGCCAGTACCTCTAGCCAGGGACAGGTGAGCACACATGTATAATGACCGCCATTGTAATGCCGCCGCCGGTCCCGTCCTCCGGGAGCGATCGTGACGCAGCACCGGATACAAACGACAAGGCGAGGAAGACAGGACTACACAGGCCGAGCGTTTCCACCGCTAGGCCTGCCGGGAAACAGTGTTACCTCACAGGAAGGACTCTGTGGGTAGGATGTAGCTTCAGTGTGAGCACTGCGCATGCGCCGCTCAGCTGCAGAGGATGCTGGGACAGAAGGGGAGAATTAGAGGAAGAGGAGGTTGTAGATATGAGATGTGCGACCTGTTGGGGTGGGAAGTAGTACTTGTCACGGTGCTGCACTATTAATCCCAGACCTACACGGCAAAGGCTATACTGGGGATAGCAATAAAAGCTGGAGCAGACAGAATCAGGAGCAGTTGCCCATGGTATCCAATCAGCTTCTCTTTTCAGTTTGCTCAGTTAAGCTTTGAAAATGAAAGATAGAAGCTGATTGGTTGCCATGAGCAACTGCTCCAGGTTTTGTCGGCTCCAGTTTTGATAAATTCCCATCACTGTGTTTTTATAAAAGCCTTGCTACATGTCTTATGTGAATGGGCTTTTTAACCCCTTCATGACTGAGGCCTTTTTTTCATTTTTTTGTACCCATGTTCTATACCACATTTTAGGCTGGAAAATTACTTAAAATCCCCCAACATTATATAATTTCTGAATGCCAAGACCCTATAGAATAAAATGGTGGTAGTTGCAAATTTTTATGTTGCGCAATATTAGCGCAACTCCTTATTAAACCCCAATATTTAGTGAAAAATTTAATTAAATGCCCCAAAACACAACAAAATACCAATTTTTTTAATGAAATATAAAAGATGACAGGGGACCGGCTCTCTAATCATTATTGAATGATTAGCTGTGATGTGCGGGGTCCCTTGTGCGTCCCTGTGCCTTTAAGGAGGTTGGACTTCCTCCTGACAAACCTGCACACAATTTTATCTTTTGCCACATGTGCTCCAAGATGGAGACTCTCTTAGTTTAGAGTTAGGACTGCACTATATAGAGGTGCCTTGGCTCGGCTGTGCAGCTTTCACATTTTCTGCAGAAGACGTGTATCTAAACCTCTGTTTTTAACCTTAGCAGTGAGACAAGTTTTTTTGCATGCTGGCTGGTGAGTGTGCTGGGAAACTTTTTGCTGTTGTACCAAATATCAGAATTTCGGGTGGCGGATCATGATCCGATTGCCTATGAATCCAGTGTTCTAGCGAAAGAACACTGGCTTCCCGACCAATCAGCTCTATAATTTTACCAAATACAGTGGTACCTCGGTTCACAAACTTAATTCGTTTCCACGATTCTGGTCGCAAACCGCAATCTCGACTAGAGGAAGCCACGACCAGTGTAAGAGCAGGGAAGATGGCTGCGGTTGTGTTCATCACCCGATGCGGAGTTCGCGAACGGAAAGCAACATTTTGCCAAACTTCCTGTTCGCGAACAGTATTGTTCGCGAACAGAAGCGTTCGTGAACCAAGGTACCACTGTACCAATAAAGTCTGGAACCAAAGCATTTCTGTTTATGACTTTTCACTAATGACACTCCTCATCACACACACACACAGTAGCCATCAGTGTAAGGAACCAGCACCCTATCCAGTACCTCTAGGAGGCGGGATTACAACCTAAGAAGATGAACCTAAACCTGAAATCATACAGTGCGGCCACAGATTCAAATATTTTGCCCTAAGAGACCTGTCAGTGGAAAGAGTGGAGCAAAGGAACGTAATGTTGTTTTCCACAGGAAGCAGAGATCCACATTCATTTTCAAACCTGCTCTTCAGAATTTACTGTAATCTGATTGCTTAACTTAGACCAACCTTTTTCAACCAGGGTGCCACAGCACCTTGGTGTGCCCTTTGGCTTCCTCAGGGGTACCTCAACATTTTGTGGTAATGGGACTGTGATGTGAATGAGGACTGAGGTGAAGGAGGCTCCTGATGTAAAGGAGGCACTCTGATATGAAAGAGTGGCTCCTGATGTGAAAGGGTGACTACTTATGCAAAGGGTGACTCTCGATGTGAAAGGGGAAACCCACTTTTTTTGTGTGGGGTTTCCCTTTAAATCTATGACATTTTAGAGTGGGGTGCCTCCAGATTTTGCATACTTTTAAAGGGTGTCATGACTGAAAAAAGGTTGAGAAACACTGGGGGGGAATTTATCATAGCAATTGCGAGTGTTTGAACTTGCACAGAATATATTTGCACCAGATTTATGAAGCTAGTGTAATGTTGTTCATAAATGAGGTTTAATAGACTCCAGGAAAGAAGACTTAACTCCAGGCAAAAAGCTTAAAGGAGAACTATGAGATGAGTGATTTCCACTCACCTCATAGTTCTAGCCGACCTGTGACAATGAGACTGTCACAGGTCGGCTCAGTAGATCGCTCACCTCCCGAACACATACCAGGTTCGCTCACCTCTCGATCCTTTCACGGCTCTCTGCCGTGACAGGGGGAGGGGCTGGATTCCCCTCTCCCCGCTCCGATCTGCCAGCGCTGACTGGCGGAACGGACGGGGGAGGGGGCGGGTACAGCTGGCTCTGCCTCTAGATAGGCAGAGCCAGCTGTCACTCACGCAGCTGGGCGGATCCCGTCATCTACGTCGGGATCCGCTCCGGCTGCGGCGTCTCAGTATAGCGCGAGCTTTAGCTCGCGCTATACTGAGCTTAGGGTAACGGGAGGACGCTAGTTTGTGTCCTCCCGTTACCCTAAGGAGAACTATGGGGAAAAACACTGACCCCATAGTTCTCCTTTAAAGGAGAACTATGAGGTGAGTGATTTTCTAGCCGACCTGTGACAATGAAACTGTCACAGGTCGGCTCAGTAGATCGGGAAGTGAGCGAACACATACCAGCGCTCGCTCATAATTGTGGATCCAGACATAATTGGCTGCGGCGTGTCTAGTGCAGCTGTAGCTCGCGGTATACTGAGCTTTGGGTGACGGGAGGACGCCAGTATGTGTCCTCCTGTTACCCCTAGGAGAACTATGGGGAAAAGCCCTAACCCCATAGTTCTCCTTTAACTGTCGCATCTTGAAGAAGTGGTCATGGGGACTTCTTAAGTTGTGATTGTTTTCTTAGGTGATGCTCCAGTTTCAGACAGCCCAGAACAAGTGCAGATGAAAGCAGGGGCAAAAAACATGCAATTGAAAAAGTAGTGCAAGCTCAGGTCAAAACAGGGGCACATGTTAAAAGACAGATTTGCACATAAAAAAAATTATCTAAGAGGCTAAAACTGTCGCAATTGCCTTGACAAATTCCCCCCACTGTCTTTTCTCTGTGCTCCGATTTCTGTAATTAATTCCCAAAAACTATTTTTGTATGATGCTGGATTTTGTACTCGTACATTTTGGGGACATGTTATGCAACAGACAATAGAGAATCATTTAAAACAAACTGTAAAATACAAAAAAAATACTATATTGTATCTTGTTGCATATGCAAGTGATATTTAATGATAACAGTTCATGTGTCTAGTGCAGGCTGTATGTAATTTGTTTACGGTAGTTGGCTATGACAGCATTACATATTTTTCACAATATATGCAGATATTATTTTAATCCCAGTGAGAGCTTCACTGCATGTTGGTCTTATTAACTTTGGAGGAAGCAAAAATCCATAAGTCCCTTTATCCTGAAGCTCGATGGTGAAAGAATATTTAATTCCCAAATCATATGCCCAGTCATCAGAACCACCGGGAGCCAAATCTGCAAAAGTAACACAATATTTAGATTTGTATAGTTGAAATGTTAGATGCAATGTCTGTCAGTCAGCAAGAAAAACTTAAAGAGGAATTTTACCTTCCCTGTTACAATGTTAGTCTGTTCCCCCTTTACCTTTGGTGGGGGGTTTATTGTTGTGTTTTTTATGCTGTATTAATATACTGACAAGATTTAGATATTGTGATAGAAATATGCCATTCAAAAGGAGCAAACATTTATCACATATCAGTCACATAGGGTAGTTTATAATCTTAATCTCTATTTCTTGGTGGATTTAGTGAGAAAAATAATTAAGAGAAGGTGTCATCAGGAACATTATTTGATCAACATAATGAGTAAAAATGGTAGAATGGGTCCAGATCATGGCCAAAGGTCAGAGAAGGAAAAGTAAGAACTGCTTGCTACCTAGAGATGTAGAGGAGAGAGGTGTGGCAGCTGATCGTGTTCCACTGGGAGAGGATGCAGCAGAAGAACTGGTCATGGACTTGAGGATGAAGAAGGAAGTGGAGGCAGGGAGGGAGCTTATCATGGATAGGGGAGAGGGGGTCATGTATAAGCGATCATTCTTTCCTCCAAGGGGAGCACTTCATGCCCTTTCTGCTTGTGTAAAGCCATTATGCAGCTGTTTGCACCAGCCATGACTCAAATCTGACTTGTGCAATAAAAGTGTGGTTATTTAAAAAAAAAAATTGTTTGCTCACAAAAGATTCCCTTTATGAAGTGTGACCTGCGGTCAAGATCAACCTGTAGTGCAGACTTAAGGGAACGCTGGTTGGGGAGGAGGGCAGCTGACAGAGAATAAAGTGTGGTTGGGGGTGCTTGTCAGAGAACAAAAGACTGTAGCATGGATTGAGATATGGACATGATGAGGAAAGAATAGAGCAATGGAGTGGTGCTGTTGGTTCAGATGTACTGTACATAACATTGCTGTAGGCGGGGTTCACACCTGGGCGTTCCTAATAGGCTTGTTTTTAAGCACGTATTTCTCCAATGAAACGCGCATTCGACGCTCGTTTTTAAACCTCCCTGTTTTTAAACCTCCCTGGCGGTATGATTGTTTTTTTCCTTCTTTTCTCTATCTTTTTCCTTTTTTTTACTTTCAAACTTCCTGCCGGTTCCGCCCCCCGGCGACGCAGACGCTCACAAGGGACCAAACCCGGAAGACGGCAGCGGCCAGAGGACACAGCGGGGATCGCGGACAAGGTAAGACCTACGCCGTATTCCCGAGTGTGGCTTGGGGTTACCGCTTTGTTAACCCCGAGCCACACTCGGGAATACCAATGGATACGCGCTGAAATCTGCCCCTACGCGCGAAAAAGAAGCTCAAGTACTTTTTCGTGCGTAGGGCATTTTTCAGCACGACAAAACAGCCTGAAATATGCCCAGGTGGGAGCCATGCCAATAGGGATCATAGGATTTCACTTCTTGAGCGTTTTTCAGCGCTTCGATCAGCGCTGAAAAACGTCCAGGTGTGAACCCAGTGTTTCCTTTGCTCCTGCTCACCCTAGTCTACATCTAATTGGAATTCTACTTACAAATAGTATCTGCTCCTGTGCCAGATACATATCTGTTTCTTGTGGTTTGCTTGATGACATCAATTACTTTCTTTGCAAGTTGTGCCTAAAGAAAAAATGTATTAGTTAAAACAAACTTTAGGAGACAATATAGCCATATGAGCATTAATTATGACAACCATTCAAGTGATCTACAAGTATTAGTATGTATCATATCACACCTTTATTTGTTTTTGAAAGACAAGTGACGTGTTAATAAGTGGAATCTATTGCTGTGCATCATTTAGGCCTCATTAATACCTGTAAGTTTAGGTGTGATTAGGGATTTCTGCATCAGGCACATGCGTTTTCTTGCAGCAGGAATCCCTAATCTGTTCTTTACATGCAGCAGCTGTCACCCATTCAAGTTGATGATCGAGTGACAGTCGCTGCATTTAAACGCCGGCATGAGATTTGATTACATGTGGTTACAAATCAATGATTATACCTAGAGGCATCAATCGTGCTCCCAGGAGAGTGATTGGTTCCTTCCTAGCCACATGTAATCATATCACATACGATTATATGCGGTGTGTCAGTGTTTACATGCAGTGGCTGACACCCAATTAAGTTGATGATCGGGTGACAGCCGCTGCATTTAAACTCCGGCACACCACATGTAATCATATAACATACGATCAATATAGACATCAAATCAGTATACCAGGAGACATCAATCGTGCATCCTGGGAGAGTGATTGATTCCTAACCACATGTAATTATATCACATACGATTATATGCGGTGTGCCAGTGTTTACATGCAGCGGCAGACAGCCAATCACTAACCTGAATGAGTGACAGCTGCTGCTTGTAAATAGCAGATTAGGATGGCAGAAATGGCAGATTAGGAATCCCTGCTGCAGGAAAATGCAAGTTCCTGAGGAAGAGATCCCTAATCGCACCTAAACTTACAGGTATGAATGGGACCTTAAAGTGTACATTAATTAGTTTTTTTTTATAATATTCCAACATACTATATTTGAACTGCCAAAAGTTCAGTCTAGTGGCCATAATGTAATATTATAACCCTATATTCAAACTGGGAAAATTATTATTTTTGGCATTATTCGCCCAAAAAGAACCAGGCCGAGAACCTGGCAAAATGTTTATAAATAGACTCCATGGTGTCATCAGAGCAGACAGTTGGATAAATTTGCCAAATGGTAAAAAAAAGCTTAAGAGATTTCAAACCCCTTTCCACATTTTTTTTTCCCTAGTTTTTGTCGCTGTAGGATAGAAGTCCCTTTACTTCCTTTACCAATGACAGGGGGCAGGAAGACAGGGAAAATCTTTCCAATGAGGGAAATTTTAATGCGATCCTGTCATAACAACTGTCACATAAGTGTCATAGTGGCTGGTGGGTGGAAGCAAAGGGCACAGCAGGGAACACAAGCATTTAACACACCCGGAAGTGTCAGATGTTGAAGATTCTGCAAGAGGCTAAGGACTGCAGGAGTGCAAAGATTGAAAGGGAAGGTGAGTAGTAACGCTCTTCTTTTTTCCTTTTTAAATTAGCAACAAGGCTGTTTTAATTTCTTTGCTTCTAAGAAGTTTAACCACCTGCTAGCTGTTTCTTAATATCAGTTTGAAACACTTCTGACATCATTAACAGTTCATTAATAGGTGCATTTGAACTGCCATTGCCCTCTATCTGACTTGCAATTGACCTCCCTCTAAGCGGCATCAACCTGCTACAAGCTGCTTTTGCATTCTCATAAAGTTGTATGGGTAGAAAAGTAGTGCCACTATAAACAAAAGCCAATGTGAACAAGTACTTAGGCTCATAAGGCTAGAGCTTCATGGGTATTTTTTGTAGTTCAATGATGCTACCAAATTTGTTAGTGTTTCTTCGCTAAGAATAGCAATCAATTACTGTCGTCCATAACAAATGGCTCCGTACAGAGTAAGCATCATTAGCAAATAGTAGCAATCAGGCATGCATGATTGAACAATACTCTATTCATGTGTAACTGAACGCTGGAACATACTATTGCATGTTACTTACTCCTTAGGGGCCAGTTGGTCCATCTGTTTAGCGATCAACTGCTACTTATAGTGATGAATTATTAGTGATTTTGGTTGCATGATTAAAGTGGACCTTCACTGCCAAATTCAACTTAACTTCTTTGTAATCCTCCCCCTCCTTCATTTTAAAAGTTTAGATTTTTCCTTGTTTACTTTTTTTTTCCGTTACATTCACTCCAGCCTACCCCCTGCCTTTATTCTCGCCTATACGCAAGAATGACAACAGCCCTATCTCTGCAGCCTCCTGCGATATCCACACTGAAGGCATCAACTAAGGCTTAAAACAGAGGGTGGACCTGTAGAAGCATTATTGGGGGCCATCTGGAACCTGGAAAAGACAGCCAGCTCCCATTGTCAGGAAGATGGCGGCGCAAGACCCGGCATGCAGCAGCGGAGTGGCAGATCACAGCAGATCAGTGCTGGATTTGTTGGACATATGAGTATATTTGTTGAGGATAACACAGTGTGGTAGTTTGGGGAATTTAGCACAATAGTGAGCACTAAGAGACCACTCTTGAAGCTGATTTTATCATAAAAGGATCCATGCAGTTCACATAATAATACCCTTTTCTTCAGCATAACGAAACATAACAGTTAATTTGACTTTCACCAAAACATTGTGTTTCTGTCTCACCGACATCAGGCTGTCCCTTGCATTACCAGTGTCTTTGTCTCTGGACTTTAGCGTATTTCTCCACAAATACAGTCCTCACTACCGCTCCATAGCTTTCCTCAGCTCCAAGCGTCTCACTGCTAACCCCTTGTGGGTCACTGTCTCTCTCTTAGTCTCTCCAACAGGTCATTTGGGTGTCAGGACCCTCTCGACCTCTCCCAGCCTCCCACGACTGTTCCACATGTGCTCGAGCAGCCTCCTGCACACCCACAACTTCCCTGAGTTTTGGTCCAGACTCCTAATAAGGCTGCTCTCAGCCCCTGATCCTCCTAGACTGGTCATTGGCAACACCTGGCCCCAGGACTTGAGATTCCATCCCGCTACAGTCCAGAAAACCTGGAATAAACTGGAAAGCCAGTTTCTTCCCTGCAAAGGTATTCACGTTCTGGAACCTCACAGCCCCTCTAAGTGAGTTCTGGGTGACTGTGTAGCCATATTACATTGTGGCATTGCCATGCACCTCTACAACAGTAAAAGAAAGGATTTTTTATTTTATTTTCTTACATGCAGGGGTTGAAGTTCCTCTTTAAACTACTAAAAATCTGCTGTGTCACTCTAGCCTAAAAAGCAACTTCCAGCAAGTTATTACATCTTACAATAACTAGGAATTAAAATAGCTCAAGTCGCTTAAAGTGACACTAAACTGAGGAGTTAAATCTTAAAAATACATTCAAGTACCTTAACTATTAACAAAAATTTAGCTTATTTGTGCATCACTCAGCTGTAGATCCTTCAATCATCTCTGAATTGGTGCCGACACTGTCCTTTCTCCTGGAGGGGAGCTACTTTTGTTCTCCATGGTCCCTGTGTGTGTTGTAAAGTAGGCACCAATCCAAGCTCCCTCCCGTGATGGACTACAATCTCAATACAAATTAGTAAACTAAACATGAGGTTGTAGTCTATCACAGGAGTGAGCTTGGAGCGGTGACTACTTTACAACACATACAGGGACCATGGGGAACAAAAGTAGCCTCCCTCCAGAAGTAAGGACAGTGCCAGCACAAATTCAAAAATTATTTGAGGATCTACAGATGAGTGATACACAAATAAGCTACATTTTTGTTATTAGTTAAAGTGCTTTAATTTAGTGTAACTTTAGTCCTTAAACTGACCACATGTTACAATCTGATTGTACAATCTTTGTATGATCTCCTTTAGATTTACCAAATCTGTGTAATATGGGAACCCATCTAAACTATCCAATCCACTGGTATTCCATCAGGGAGGCTCTAGCACTAAAACAGATCTGCCTGAAGATTGGCTTTAAGTCGATAATACTGGTAAAATACAATAAAGGAAATACTGTGTTCTCTTTAAGCCACTAGAGTGTAGTCAATAGATTTATCAGCAACTACAAAATGTACAAAATGGGCCTGTCTCTTACCAGCTCATCGTGATCTTTGGACTTCTCTTTTTTATAGGAATATGGGAAGAGCACCATCTGGGAGTAAGAGTGAATTGTTATGTAACCTTTTATTATGTCTGTATTTTGTCTGATAAAATTAGTCACTGCAGCCACTTCAGGTTCAGATTCTGGAAAACGGCCACAGTATGTTTCATCACAAGGATTGCCGGAGGCTCCTGATCCTAGAATAACATTATTATTCTGTAAGCACAGTATTTTTTAATATTCTTAGAGCCCATTCTCACTAGTGCATTATGGTAACTTGCACTAAAAATGCAATCTCAAGGTATGGACAAGGCAAAAAGCCTTGCTCTATATTGCGTTAGTTCATATCAACACGCTACCACACACTGACACATGCACTGCATTGTGGAGTCATGTATTTTGCATCGTATCCCAATGCAGCACCCCTGTGTTTAACATACCGCAACTCACAGATGTAAACCATCTGTGCTCTTCAGTGCATTATAGTGCACTGCATGGTAAAAAAATATTGGACGTCTGGTAAATGTGCATTCTATTGGCAGTCTATTCATAATAAATGGGCTGCCTAAACACAGCACATGTTAACACGTGTGTTTACTGCCGCATTAGTGTGAACAGGCTTTAATTTAATAGCAATTGTATAGCAGATGTTACAATATATATATATATAGAGAGAGAGAGCATATTTCTAAAACATTCTCCAGCCGTTAATTCACTAGGTACAGATTGCTACACATTTACCATTTACAGTAAGTCTAATGTGCTTTCTGTGCATAGACTGGTGAATTTTGACCACATAGTTTTAGTATTGTAGCTGTTTCTTAGTAGCTAATGTAAGTTTGGCAATTGAGCTGCCTGTATTAAAAAAAAATACATGACATAGTTCACAGGTCAATGACTCGGGAGGAATTGAAGGTTTAGAACAACAAGGCAACTAGCATTTTCAGATGTTTTAGAGTTTAGTAATGTCAGCCTTCATAGCACAAGAGTAGGCCAACTAAACTTTCCGTTCAAATGAGCTAAATACTATCCAGGTGCATCAAAACAAAGGGCGTTCAAAGTCCTACAATTTGCTTTCTTTAGAAAGCAGCCACAGCCTAAGTAGAAAAGTCTGTCCCCTGCCAGCATGCTTAGAGTAGGACCCTCACGCTTTGTAATGAAGCAGTGGTCCCTCTGCAGAGGTCCGATATGCCCCCTACTGAGTCTTAACTAGAGCTCTGCAATCAGCAGGGAGCTTTGCTGATTGCAGAGCTATGCCTTGGATCAATCCTGTGTGTTGTTTTTACTCAGCTTGTCTGCATTTATCCTGATCATCTGCCTGTTACCACTATATTTCATCATTGCTCCATTTACCTGTCTGGAACCTGGATGCTGTTTCTTTTGGGCCTGACCTGGCCATCAGCCTGTTGACTCTTCTACTGTCTGTTATTTGCAATGACCCTCAGTTTGAGAACCTACAGCACGATACATCTGTCTTGCAATGTGAGGCATGGAACCCAGTAGGTGAAAGTTAACACAATGACCCATGGAAGAAAGCACAAAGAGGGGCACCTTTCCTGGTGCAAATATGTTTATTATCACTCTATCCTTGTGAGTACCTGCCAGTTTACTTCTTAACCTGCTTATTGGAATAAACATATCTGCACCAGGAAAGGCGCCCCTTTTTGTGCTTTCTTTCAGATGTCCCAGTTCCCCTGACTGTATTGGGGCTGCGCCCTGCATATATGCCCAGTACTCCTTCCTTGTGAGGGATGAGGATTGCCCCTGGCGCTTCTAAACAAAAACTTTACAATGACCCATGGGGCTGATTTATAACCTGTATGCTGTGCTGTATGGTGACTAGATGGAGTAGAGGAGCATAGGAAATTCCCATGCTCCTCATCTCCATCTAGTGGGCATAAAGCAATATGACTCTTCGCTGTGTGAACAGTTTATTGATCAGCCCCTAAAAGTTGTAGAACCATTACGCCCTACATTAAGATGAGAGATAAATTTTCCTAATAAATCTGGACTGTGCTTAAAAATGTTATATATCGACTCCTCATGAGATTAGGTTTTATTGCTGAGGTGCCACTGACTTTTAAATGGTCTAATAGTATGTATATGATACAGTCACACAAATAATACGTTAGGTTAAAGCATACCACACCACCCTGCGTCAAAGTTCCTATTAAGATCTACTCCGATGCAGTTGCTATGTGGATGTTTAGAGCGATTCTTTCTCCACATCCGCTTCTGAAAACAAAATAAGTTGCTGTTATATACTTTATTTTTTGTTTCAAACACTTTATTTATTTGCCATCTAGAACTAAATGATTTTACACAGATTCTTACACAAAACAAAGCACTTGCTTATAAATAGTATCTGCTGCTTTACAAATTTTGAAAGGAAACATTTATGGGTAGACTTTTGGATGTTGGAGCATGTGTTGGCTGTGTATGTAACTAAATATTGGCAGGCTGTTGCAACCAAGTTGTTGCCTTCAGGCTTGGACGAAATGCTCTAGGTGGGCTAACGCATCTGGAATCTCCATACATTATAGTAGTAGCTAGAGTTGTGAGATTGGCCCATAGTTCTCTTTTAAAGCATTGAAAAAGTACTTAAAGTGACTGGCGCCCAATTTACTGTTTACATCCCACAACCCGGCAAGCAAAAATGCTGCATGCAATGCTGCATTATCATAGTATGGCACTATGATAATGGTGAACATAATTACTTGAGATAAGCCCTACCTATTAATTTGTCTAGGTTCAGCAGGTTAGTTCCAGTTTAGCAACTCGAGTTTTTCAGGTACTTTATCCCCAAACTTTCATAGACCAGTTTAACATGTTTTTAAGCATTCCACTTATTTGTTTAGTTATTATATAAATGTGGTGAAAAATGGTTGGCTCCCAACAGTTCTGTACAAACAGTGGTGAACTAGGGTTGCACCTGTCCAGGATTCACCCGCCCGGACAGTCCGGGTTTTGAATGCTGTGTCCGGGTTTCATGGCAGCAGTAACCCGGACACAAGATGTCAGGCAGACAGGGGCAACCAAAATTTAGATAAGGGCTACTGGCCCCCTAGTTAAAATAGTCTCAACTGTGATATTCACATATTAATGGGTGGCGCTATTTACATATGAATAAGCCACAACTCATTCTCCCCCAACAAATGTCCGCCCATCGCTAGGGTGTTCAAGCTTCGCTTGAAGAAAAGGTGGCAACCCTATGGTGAACACATTTCATTATGCATTTATTTAAAAAGAGGTCCCATTGCCCTATGCTGTTCATAGCATTTCAAATCATTCTTGAGAAAGGGTAGAGCCTGAGCACAAGGATTTTTTTAGTTCAGGAGAAATAACACAGGGGTTCACGTATAAACTGTTTGCATAGCTCTTTGCTGTGTGAACAAGATTCACAGCCCTGTTTGGCCACTAGATGGAGCCGATGAGCATAGAAATTTCCTATGCTCCTTTGCACCATCTAGTGGACATAAAGAGCTGTGAATTTTGTTTGCACAGGGAAGAGCCGTGCAAACAGTTTATAAACCAGAGCCTAGCTGATAAGACTATAGTTTGCCTGGAGAGCTTCTGCAAGTTACCAAGTTACACTTATAAATTAAACTGAAGTCATCACCAGAATAAACACTATTGTATAGCAAATAATATACTTACGGTATTCCATGAATATTGATATCCATCTACATTCATTACTGGTAATACATAGAAATCAGTATGTTGCAAAAGTTTTGTCATTTGTTGGTCCACATCATAGAAGCCGATAGCCTAGGCAAAAACAAGTGACTGTAAATGACAGAACTATCTTCTTTTAGGATAAATAGAGTATTGGAGGACAACCTTTGCAGGTTTCTGCTGGGTATCAAAACAATGTGTGTTGGAGGTTTCGGTGTGCCTGTGTTTAAGTTTTTAGTAAAAAATGCACTGAAAGCAGAACTTTAAGTCGTGTGAACTATAGTTAGAGCCGGCCTGTGACAAAGAAGCTGTCACAGGTTGGCTCTATTGATCGGGAAGTGACCAGAAACATGCACCGATCCTCCCACTTCTTGATCGTCTCCCTGCAGTGAGCGGTCACTGTCAGTTACGGCTCCCCGCAGGGATTCCCCCCTCCACTCTCCAATCCTCCAGCACTGAGTGGGGGAAAGAACGGGGGAGGTGCGGCCATAGCTGGCTCTGCCTCTAGATAGGCAGAAGCAGCTGTCACTCACGTAGTTGGGTGAATCTCGACAGTATTGTCGGGATCCGTCCCGGCTGCGGTGGTCTTAGTATATTGCGGGCAATAGCCCGCGATATACTGAACTTTGGGTCATGGAAGGAGGTTAGTATATGTCCTCCCGTCACCCTAAAGAGAACTATGGGGAAAAATACTTACCTCATAGTTCTCTTTTAAGTTAAAGTGACATTAAACCCTCAGATTTTTTAACATAAACCAATACTGTAATGTGCGCCTTACTGTAATCCATGGTAGTTTCCCTTCTCTTTGCTGCTCTTCCTTTTAAATCTGTATCTCTTCTCATGCTGGGGGAGAACTTCACTTTGCAGCTGAGTGCCTCTTCCTGTAGTGCTGGCTCAGGTTGTGAACCTACACACAGACACCATGTATCCATTTCAGAGACAAGGCAGTCTGCTGCAAAACAGAAGTTCTGCCCAGCATGAGAAGAGATACAGATTTAAAAGGAAGAGCAGCAAAGAGAAGGGAAACAACCATGGATTACAGTAAGGCACACATTACAATATTGTTTTATGTTAAAAAATCTGAGGGTTTAATGTCACTTTAAATTTAGTGCCCCAAAACGCAATATAATACCCATTTTTTTTTTTTAAATATAAAAGATGCCCAAGATGCCCAGGTTAAAAATAGTGTGCCTCTATGAAACGGCAACAAAATTCAGTACCCCAAAAAGTCCATAGACAAAGCTTTAAGAGCCCCTACAGGTCATCAATTTAGAGATATGTGGAAATATTGGCCCTAGAATTATTGCTTTCATTCACACGGGGACTTTAAAAATGTAACCCCTTAGTGATAATCTCTTGAAACAGAAGAAAATCCAAAATCCACCTTTTTTTTGGACTACCGCCTCCTTTGGGCTAACAGTGCAGAGCTGCGCTGCGGCCAGGAACAATCCTGATAATATTGTCGGGATTCACCTGGCTGTCCGATTGACAGCTGGCTCTGCCTCTCTAAAGCCAGAGACATCTGTGCCTGCCCCCTCTACTGTCTGTCCGTCCAATGAGTATTGGAGGAAAAGAGAGGGGAGGGGGGAATCTCTGTGGGGTACAGTGATTGACAGTCACTGCGCACTGAGGTAGAAGACATTGAGCTGAGTGATCAGCAGTTACATGATCACTCAGCTCTTGGTACGGACAGCTGCAGTGTCCTATGGCAGCTGTAAGTATTAAGAATAGTATTTTTTACTCTCCCAAATCCCAATACTTCTACTTTAAGGCTTTATCACTTTTATGTATTTTAAAATGTTTTCCTTTAATCATTCATGTGCAATTTTGTTCTGCAACGCTTTAGAGCTTACCTGATATCACCATGTAGAAATGAATAAAATGTCACTTTGACATTTTATTAATAATGGATGAAATTATAGTCCATCATAGGAGTGATCTTGGAGTGGTGGCTACTTTACAACACACACAGGGACCATGGGGAACAAAAGTAGCCACCCTCCAGAAGGAAGGACAGAGTCAGCACCAATTCAGAGTTGATTTGAGGATCTACAGCTGAGTGATACACAAATAAGCAATATAGTTGTTTAGTTAAGGTATTTAAATGCATTTTTAAGATTTAACTTCTGAGTTTAGTGTCTTTACGGAGGACCGAAACTGTAAAAGTTGTGGCCAAAACTCACAGTCGGATAGAAGTGACATTTCAGGACCGATCAGCTGTCCCAGGGATTAGCTGAGAAAGCGTTGGAATGCTTGACCTATTGGCGGTCACACATTCCACCGCCGAAAAACTGGGCGGGATTACGTTAAAATGTGTGACCACGTGACCGGTCACATTCAAACGTAGTCACGAACTGATAGAACAGAGGCCTGTCTGTAATCATTTAATCAGAGAAATAGATTATAATAGGGAACAATACAGTGTAATGTCCCCTATTATAATCCACTTTCTAATTTAATGAAATAAGAGCACACAAC